GATCTGCCTGCATCTGCCTCCTTGAGTGCTGGGATTACAGGAGTACACCACTGCACTAAGCAGTGTTATCTTTTAAGAGACAAAAGAGATCTAATGATTTATAAAAATTTGAACAGCCTTAGAAACAGGAAGTAAGTAAAAAAAAAAATCTGAGTGGAACACATTTGTTTTGTGTGTGAAAAGTGGTGAAATTGACAATATTAAAAATTAATCACAGAGAATAAGAGTGGGGAAATTTTTTTCTTGCTAGCTGCTTTTCATGCTTTTGTAAACAGTTACAGTGCAAAATGTATTTTAGATGGTTCAGTGTTGACTATTAAGATCTATTTTAACATTTATGTTAAAATTATAACATGTATGTTATTTATTTGTGCATGCATATACATTCACTATCTATATCATATCATATCTTAATAAAATAGTCAACACTAAACCATCTGAAGTATGTGTGAATATGGGTAAAAGTAGTGAAAGTGAAAAGGGACAGTGAGAGGGAAAAGAGAGTTATTGAGGAACTGGGGAGAATGGACTATGTATGACATGAAAGGCAAAAGGAGGCTACTTGCAGTGAAAGAGTATTAGACAGGACAAAGGGACTGGGAGAAGAGGAGAGGCAAGGATCAACAAAACAAATTAGTATAGCATAATACTTTGTATAGTAATTTTTTAAAAAATTTAATTTAATTTTTATTAATTACAGTTTATTCACCCTGCAACTGAGCTGCAGCCTTCTCTTCCATACCCTCCCAATCCCACCCTCCTCCCTCCCAACCCCACCCTTCTCCCTCCCTGTTCCTCTCCCATGCCCCTCCCCCAGTCCAATGATAGGGGAGGTCCTCCTCCCCTTCCATCTGACCCCAGTCAGTCCATCAGGTTTCATCTGGACTGGCTTCCTTGTCCTCCTCTGTGGCCTGGTAAGGCTGCTCCCCCTTCAGGTGGAGGTGATCAAAGAGCCAGCCCATGAGTTCATGTCAGAGACAGTCCCTGTTCCTATTATTGAGGAATCCTCTTGGACACTGAGCTGCCATGGGCTACTTCTGTGCAGGGGTTCTAAATTATCTCCATGCATGGTCCTTGTTTGGAGTATCAGTCTCAGAAAAGACCCCTGAGCCCAGACTTCCTGGTTCTGTTGTTCTCCCTGTGGAGCTCCTGTCCCCTCCAGGTCCCTCCATCTCCCCCCCCCCCCTCTTCACAAGATTCCCCGCACTCTGCAAAAAGTTTGGCTATGAATCTCAGCATATGTTTTGATAACCTGCTGGGTAGAGTCTTTCAGATGCCTTCTGTGATAGGCTCCTGTCCTGTTCCCTGTTTTCTCCCTCTTCTGATGTCCATCTCGTTTGCCTTTCTGAATGAGGTTTGATCATCTTACCCTGGGTCCTTCTTCTTGCTTAGCTTCTTAACGTGTACATATTTTAGTATAATTATCCTATATTATATGTCTAATATCCACTTATAAGTGATTATATCCCATGTGTGTCTTTCTGCTTCTGGGTTACCTCACTCAGAATGATCTTTTCTAGATCCCACCATTTGCCTGCAATTTTCAGGATTTCTTTGTTTTTAATTGCTGAGTAGTATTCCATTGTGTAAATGTACCAAATCAGTAAACTTTAGAATAATGGAAAAGATGTTATTTCAGAATCCTTTTCTGTAGTTACCTGCAGTTAGACATGTCATCCACAGGGTGGAGGCAAAGGGCTTTATTTGAAATAGGTTAAGTTCCGAGTCTTTATGGTACAGCATACAACAGGTCTAATAACCCATTCTGATCTCGAAGACTGTGGGGCCAAGCATTTAATTTACACTTCAAAAAAGCTTCTTTATAGGCTAGAAAATTATGAAAATCTCTACCTCTAATATTCAGACAGGTAGCAGATGCTTGCCAGTAAACTTAAGTTATGAAAGTAGGAGTGAATTAGGAGCACATGAGCTGGAGAGATGGCTTGGTTCACAACCAAAATAACTGACTAACTAACAAACTAAGTAACTAAAGAGAAGAAAGAAAGAAAGGAAGGAAGAGAGAGAGAGAGAGAGAGAGAGAGAGAGAAAGAAAGGAAGGAAGGAAGGAAGAAAGAAAGAAAGAAAGAAAGAAAAAGAAAGAAAGAAAGAAAGAAAGAAAGAAAGAAAGAGAAAGAAAGGTGGAAAAGAAAATATTTTTTATATTTGATTACCCATGATTGGGAATGCTTAGTGGAAGATGAAAGTGTCAGTGTGTCACTAAGGACAAATGTTGACAGCGCAGTGGCAGCTGCAGATAATTCAACTGTATGCGCTCACCCTTGCTGAAGTATGATCAGCCACTGAGCCAACAGGTGAGAGCGATGAGCTGGCTGCTCTCAGACATTTCCCCTTTTCCAGTTTGGCTAAGATAGGTCTTTCTCAAGCCTGATCAAATCTGAACCTCTGAGGGGAGGCTTGCGAGGGAAGAACTTTGTATTTCAGAAATCTAATGTGAGGCAGAGCTGGGCTGCAGGTAAGGCTCTCTGAAGGAGGACCAAAGACCTAACAGGCAACCATACTAACCTCTTTGGTTCCTTCTAGCTATTTCTTTCCCAATGGAAATTGATAAATGTCAAATCTGATCAAATTCTTGTGTTGCTTTAGGTTATTGCCCTTTAATTAAAAAGGTATAAAAAGATTTTCCCATGTTTTAAAAATTAAAACTCCAGCCTTGCTTCTGAAGAATTTCATCCTGAGGATAATAATAAGCTAATCATTGTGGAGAGTGTGTAAGACCATTAAGGCCACATGTGAGAACTTCCAGTGTTATGATCTAAGTGTGCAGAGAGCATGGTAAGAACTGCAATATAAAAGACTTTAAACTCTACGAAGGATGCCAACAGAAAGCTCTGTGCTTGCTGAGTTTTATACATTAGCCTGAGCAGACTTTGGTGAGAATTTGGTAAAATCACGCTGTAGTATGATTAACATTTACCATCAGCCAACGTCAAGTAAAGGAAGGAGACAGCCAATTCGTTGCACATCCTGAGAGATGAAACAGAAGTTTCCAGGCAAGGACGGATTCTATCTAAAGTCTGTGCTGCCAAAATCCTTCTCCAGTGTCTATATTGTCAGCCTGGCCTAAGGATGGTAGACTTACCAGCTTCACAGTGGGATAAGCCAATACCTTAAAACAAATATATCCACTGTCATCTCCTAGAAGAACCCTGGTGTAACTCATGTCAATTCTTAGAAACACAATAGTCTCTCCAGCAAGGATTCGAATAAAGTTGATCCCTGAAGTTATAAATTAGTGAAAGCTTATATAAAACAAATTGCCTAGTGGAATCATTTATGGTTGACCTTAGTTGAAGATGGGAAATCACCCCTTAATGTTGGGCAGCACTGAGGGGTTACCCCATCAAAAGACAACTGCCTCATGGGAGTTGAAACGGCAAGGATGTGATTATGGACATAACAGCTACACCTACAACTCATGCTAAAATGCTGGAACATTCGAGTCGGTGATTCTTAACATAAGAAAACACAGTGAAGATGAGAGCAACAAAGCCCACCACTTCAGTTATCTATGTAAAATTTACCGGCCACTTGGGGACAAAAGTGTGCAGTTCTACCTAATCAAGCAGAGAGATAGGGGACTAAACGGAAGCTGTTTGCAGTAGTTTGTAAATGATTTGTGAGTGCAATTTCTCATCTAAAAACAGGGAGTGATTTTCCCCAAATTGACAGCGCAATAATTCTGGACAGTACTCACACAAAGGGGCTAGCAGATAAATAAATCTGGGAAATGGCCACGTATATACAATAAATTATGGCTGGTATGTCTTCCAGGCAAATTTGATTCAATAATCTGTCCTTCAGATATGCCCAGTAATCTTATAGGCAGTGTTAATTGGGAGGTCAATCTGTCCTGCTTTCTGCTTCCTATGACCTTGAGCACTAGCTCCTTTCAGAGTCTGTCCTCTCACATTTAATCAATGATCTACTACTTGGAATTATTTGAAACCTTAATAAGGCCTTGTTTTTGTGAAAAATAATTTTTCAAAAGTCTGAAGTGTTGCCCTGCTTTGTAGTAGATAGTTGGTTTTTGACCTTGTGGCACCTCAAGGATGCCATTTGAAGTTATTTTCTCAGTTTGGAACCTTTGTATCCCACAAATCTGGGGTACACTTTCTACCACAGAGGCCGCTGACGTTCCATCCCGTTGGCAAAGGTGCAGGCACTTCACACGGTTTGATTAATGAGAATCTTGGAGAATGGCAGTGTTGATTGTGCTTAACTCAGTTTTTATTGTATATGCCAAATAGTACATCTCATTTTTCCTGTGTAACTACATCTGCCATGAGATGACTTCAAATTCCCTACTGCAATTAACTCTATATAGGGAAGGCATTTATTAGCTTCACAGACTTATTTATTTCAAAAAATATATCTGTTTTCCAGGAAGAATATAGAATCAGGGGACCTTTATTTTCTCAGACCAAAGAACACACACACACACACACACACACACACACACAAATTCATGCATATTTTAAGGACATGATAAATCAAGCTAAACTGAAAATTTGTGATATTCCAGAACTTACTTTGCCATATTGTTCCCGGGAGTCACTAGCAAAAGTAAAAGCCCAAACCAAAATTAAAGCAAAGCAAAATCAAACCACAAACCTCCCCTCTCCATTCATGCTCAGGAGAATTTTCATTTGCAAGGTGTGTAGCTACTATAGAATTAACTGCTGCAATTCACAGCAGGACATGAGAGGGTGCTCCCCTGAGATATTTTGCTTTTAAGAAGTGATATTTTCAGGCTGTTTGTTAGCAAGCAAACTAACTTTTCCTTGATGGCACCTATGAAGTCCGAAGAATTGTCAGGGAATGGAGCTGAGCCTGCTGGGGATGGTAGAGTTGGTGCTGATGCTGGGAGTCTTTTACAGAAACAGCAGAGGTCTAGTGAGAAGCCTAGCTTCTGTGCCTGGCTAGAGTTGTGTGGATCACTCAGCAACCATTCCAAAGGCGAACGTCACTCTCCGTTGTACTGAGGGTTTGCACTGCATTTCAATTTATTTTTAATAATTTATCACAAACATTGTAGCTTGGGAAGATGTAATCATCTTGGTGACCCTCCTGTGGTCTTGGGCTGATTTGGCTGTCAGTGGCAATTTTTCAGAGCGGTCCAACTTCTAGGTCTGTGAGAAAATGGGAATAAATGGTGCATTAAAGAAATGTCAGGTGCATTCAAGGTCATATTATTTTTGTTTTCATGGTACAGATAAACCTGTCTAGCATGACCCATATAACCTTTATAGCCCTCGGGGATGGGGTCTTTAGAATTTAAAGGGAAGGAGTTCCCAATACCCAGAGCAAACATTGCTATGCCAAGGACAGGGTTGAGTGAGGCCTGTCTGCTCTACAGGAATAATTGCTGTCAGAGAAAAAGAGACGCGATAGGGAACAGCCCTTAGTATGGTTTGGGTTTTGGCTATCCCACAGAGGTAATGTGGTCGTATGCAGGATAGTTTTAGGTCAGCTTGCTGCAAGCTAAAATCTTCTGAGAGGAGCTTCCATATTACTGAGCTGTAGACAAGCCTGGAGGGCATTTTCTTAATTAGTGATCAATGGGGGTGGGCCAGCCCGCTGTGGGCGGGACCATGCCTGGGATGGCCGTCCTAGACACTGTAGGAAAGTAGGCTGAGAAATGCCATGGGGTACTGAACCAGCCAGTAAGTAGTGCCCTTCCATCGCCTCTTCATCAGCTCCTGCCTCCTGGTTCCTGTCACATTTGAGTCTCTGTCCCGGCTTCCTTTGGCGATGAGCTACAATGTGGAAGTGTAAACCAGATAAACTCTTTCCTCCCCAACTTGTTTTTGTTCATGGTATTTCATCACAGCAGTAGAAACCCCGAGAAGGACAGGCCCCAGGGTGGCTTGTGGGGAGACGGTCAATGAGGATCAGTGTGCCCGTAAAGCAGAATATGGGACACCAGGCTCTTCCTCTTTCTCTCTTTGGTTTCTGATCATGAGGCCAGCAGTTTGCTAGGCTGTGTGTTCCCCATTGCTGTCATATGACACCTGCACAGAAGCCTAAAAGCAGTGGAACTACATGAAATTTATGGGACAGAACACCTCAAATAGTGAAACGAAACCGACCTTTTCTTTTAATAAGTTGATTATCTTGGGTATTATGTTAAAATTATGGAAAACTGAACACTAATGCCCCTGGTCATAGAATTGAGATAACAGTTCAATGTTTTATACTTTAGTAAGACACCATTTTGGGTATGAGTTTGTTTGGGTTTGTTTTGTTGTTGTTGTTTTGTTTTTTGCTGTTATTTTGTTTTTAGGTTGTTAGTTTTGTTTTGGTTTTATTTTTGTATATAAAAATTTCGTTTGCATTGTGGCAAAATACATTTGCCCTTGTTTTTTTTTCTTTTCTAAAAATACTCAGAAAAATCTTCACCTCCTACTATGAACATGGAGTTTATGTCTTGGTGAGAGGAGGAGACAGAAGATACGAACATACCTAATCTAAGTGTTATTTCTCGGGTCTTTGTCACATGGTGAACAGTCTGTGCAGGCTGTGATTCTAGTATCTAAACTATTTTCACCTATAAGGTAAAGAAATTCTTTTGTCTTGGCACCCCAGCGAACACTAGTCTGATTTCTTCCAGGAAAAATAAAAGCCTGGCTTTATAGGATTGAAAAACTTACTCCCTGTCCAATAAATCATCAGTTTGTGGGTTTAAAGCCTCTCCCAAGAAGATAAATGTCAAGATAACAACTCCAGTTATGATACCATTTTAAAGTAGGAAATAGAATGGGCCTGTTAACTGTATAAGAGATAACTCAGAAGACAGATGTCGAGATGACAATTCCAGTTATGGTAACACTAAAGTATAAAATAGAATGTGTCTGTCAACTGTAAAAAAGAAAAAAAAATATATCAGAGGTGTAACTGGGGATGAGAATACCCAGAGACAAAAGAATTCAGCTTGTATTCAAGTCTTTCACTAGAGACTAGTGGGCTTTCTCTGACAAAGAGTTGCATTCTGTGACTTATAAAATAGGTGATACAGTTCTAGATTCTTCGGTGATTTACATGTACTTACCCAAGACAGCACATACGCACTGTATCAGGACTGCAGGGTGTCTCTCATTTCAGCGTCGATCTGATGAGGAAACAGAATGTTCTATAGTTTATCAAGCACTTTCCTTGTAGGCTACTGGATCATAAAAGATGTACTGCATTTTGAAACCTCATCAGGGAATAAGATTCTTGCCCAAATGTCTGGTAGAAACCAGACATAACTGCAGTTTGTCATCCTAGCTCACACTTGGCTATTGGCAGTTGTTTCTGTTTGCTAGATTTTAGGGAACAACTCTATCAATAGCAGCCATTTTCTGACTCCAAGGGGCAGATGTGTTCTGTTCAATTGTTCTCACCAAGGTCTAGAAATGGAGCAGGGACAATGACCAAGGTCCCAGGACTGTTAAACATTCAATTAAGGTCAAAACAAAATGCAGTGCTACTCTGACCTTTGGTGTCTTCTAAATAAGTTAAATGGCTGCTGGAGAGCAATAGGCACAATGAGTACAAGTGGGATTCCTGTCTTCTGACAACTGCCAGCACACATCTGGGGGAGTAAGGCAGGTACAGATTTGTCAACTGAGATATGAGAATAATCCTTCAATATCTTGTAAGTCAGTATAGGCCAGGTCTAACATCAGTGAGGCTAAACTGGGCTCTATAACTAACTAACTAACTAACTAACTAACTAACTAACTAACTAACTAACTAACTAACTAGATGTGTGTGTGTGTGTGTGTGTGTGTGTGTGTGTGTGTGTGTGTGTAGGAGACAACCAACACATCTTAGTAGTGGTTAATAGGGAAACGCTGCATATAAGATCATCTCTTGTACAAAGTTAAAAAAATATTGATGCAAAAGCTGTGGCCACATGTTTCAAGGAAAGAGAGAGGAGGAAGGGGCAGAGGAAGAGTGAGAGCCAACTGATAGTGTTTGAAGAAAAGGTTGATATTTAAAAAAGATTACCACTTTAACATTAAAAAGATCTTTCTTTACAAAGTAATTCTTACGGTGAATAAGCACCTATGTGTCCATTTCCTTATTATACTAAAACATATTAAAGATAGCCTTTTATAGTTAAAATATAAGAAACGGGGTTGTCCTGCTTCTCTACAAGAATTTCTGTTAATCAGGCTACCTTCCTGTATGTATATGTATATAATAGCTACACACACACACACACACACACACACACACACACACACACGAAAGAAATGCTCATAAAGTGATGTGTGCCGCATGTAAAGAGGCCTGTGACATTTTCACTGTTCTTCTTCTTCTTCTTCTTCTTCTTCTTCTTCTTCTTCTTCTTCTTCTTCTTCTTCTTTTCATTTTTAGAACCCGTTCCTGGGTTATAACCCACAGATCGCAAATCACTTCCATGTTCCCTGTATTGACTGCATTCACAAACCTTGTCTTTATTTTTCAAAAATTTTTCTTAAAAATTTTTCATATATTTTAAGAATATTGTTTCTCCACTTCCAACTTCTCCCAGACCCTCCCTGAGTCCCTAACAGCCAATTTCATTCATTCATTCATTCATTCATTCATTCATTCATTCATTCATTC